AAAAATATTAAGAACATGTGGTAAATTAATATCTATCTTTGACAATAAGTACTTTTATTATTTTTTTTTTTTTATATAATTTAAAATTTTTATTTATATATTAGGAATAAATTCGTAATCATATCAAAATCTCAATCCCATAAGCACATAAATTATGAATATTATTATCGATTTTCAAGGTCTTTTTTAATTTTACTAACTAAAAATAACTCAGAAAAATCTTCTATATTCATATTTAAATTTTAAAATCTTATATTCAAGAAAACTGTAGGTTACAATTTTTGAAGGTTTAAAAAATTAAAATATTTCTTAATAATGATCTTACTTATAGTATAATATTATTTTATAAAAGCATATTTCTTTTGATAATTTGGATGTTGGATATTTTCCATACAAAATTACCTTTAAATATCTCTTTTCAATTTAATAAATATAATGCATTCGTATTATTTACTAACCAAATATTTTACCAAGTATAATCGAATTTTTCTTACATAATAAGAAGATAATTATTATTCATTTTTAAAATAAATATCGATTAATTGTTGATCAATTGGCTAGATTATCAATTGTCATGAGAACGATAGTATCTTCCTTAATTTCATTTTAATGTAAAAAACATTTTAATAAATTGAAGTTAAGCTCATCATTATGAAAATAAATGTTTTATCTGTATATTGATGATTTATTGATGCCAGATCTTATATTTGTATGGGATTGCCTACGGTAATGCAAAGTACACTTATAAAATATTTCAACTTGTAAGATTCATTTTCATTTTTATCCAAGTCTTCTTTTTTACATACCATACAAGTTTCATGAACAACACGCATAAATTTTTTATTCAAACCGTTAACATTTAAAAAAAATTAAATTATCAACTTTTGAATGTGTTCATTTTGCGCGCGCGTAAAAAAAAAAAAAAAAAGAAACAAAAAAAAAAAACAAAACAAAAAAACCTAAAAAACAAAAAAACTGAAAACAAGAGGAATCGACGATTATTCAAAATACCGATTCAGCATTAATATTGAGTTTTTAAGACTTTGTAAGATATATTAAGTATCTCTTAACCCTTTATAAAATAAATACTGTTTAAGCGTTTATTTTTTCCTTATGTAAGGCCATCTACGTATATGAGAAATGTATACCTTGACATGTAAAAGTTTCCCATCGTAATACTTATGCACAAAAGGACGAAAGTCAATTATATTGTTAAATTACGCGGTATGAAAAGTCACCTCCTCGGAACTTCAACGCTTCAATGACAAACTTCTTTAATACCATGGATATCTCTGTCACCTTGCATTAATCATTCTTCTTCGATATCAGTGGATTTTTACTTCAGCACAGCGAGATGTGATTTTTCACCAAGTCGGACATTTCTCGTGTACGTCGATGCACACTTATGTGCCAGTGTACAACTCTCGTTAAAGTAGTGCTGAGATACGGCAACGATGTTTATCGCGATGTTACCCATACATGTATATATCGTGATGCGCGGGCACGCAGAAACTGAATCCTTGCGACGCGTGTTGCGAATAATATACTCCCGAAATTTACGAGCGCGGATTGAATTTTCAAGAGGACGGCATAACAACCGCACCTGGGAGCTCCTCAATGAATCGACGTTGCAACCCATAGCGTTCATTTCGTTATGTCCTTTCGATTTTTAATTTTAATTGGATTTTGTGATAGTCATTGAAATTAATTACAATACAGCCACGATATTCACCGTGTCAGAAATAATAGCCGTTTGTTCAAAAATAACATTCAGCATTAAATTATATAATAAAAGTCAGAAAATGGGATGAAAAACAATTATTTGTGTTATTCTTATTATTATAATAGATCATGATCAATTCTGCTGTACTCTGTGCTTTATATATATATATTTTTCCGTAATAAAGAGTAATGTGGCCGATAGAAAGCTGCGAGTTAAAATGTAACTGAATTATAACAAAATTTATTGCAATTAATATATCCACGAAGGAGTTAACTTTTAATTCATTGGCGGGTATTAATGAGTGTATTTTGCGTACAATGTACTCATTAGAATAAAGTTAAGTGTTTACAAGTGTAGGTAAGAATATTACTAAGAAACGTATCTGTATATTTGCCGAGAACACGCAATTCCACTATTATTATTTATAAAAATAACCTATTTATATTATATACATCTATTTGATTGATCGTACATTATTTCATTAAAATTCTCAACCCGTCAAAGAAAAAACTTTTTTAATTTATTTTGCAAATTGATTTCATGTTGCGCTCAAAGTGTTTAATATTTCGAAAATATACAATCAGCAAAATTAGGGTTTAATATAGTGGATAAAAATTCTTGAACTTTACTGACTTTATAAAATACATAAATTTTTATATTAATTTTCATGTTTTTTTTTTTTTTTTTTTTTTTTTTTTTTTTTTTTTTTTTTTTTTTTTTAATATGATTGCTCAATGCCTAAATTTTCACAATTATAAAAATCTAATTGAATATGCATATTGTAAATTATCTAATGTAACTTATAATCAAAACCAAATGTAGTAATTTCATAAAAAGGTTTTTATTATTTATGCATTAAAATTTATATTTATGGGTTTAACTAGCACAAGTTCTTTTTAAGAAATATATTCTAAGAGATATTTATATATGCAGGATACAATATAGCACCTGATATTTTTTGTAATATTTTATAAGCTTTTATAAGCTGAACGAAACAAGAGATTATAATTATTTCCAAATAACTTTGAAAGACATTAGAAAATTGTGTTGTTTTTAAAAATTAAAAAGCTGATAGAAATGATGATGCTGGATAGAATGAGAATGAAATTTCATTATAAATTTAAAAATTTTCAATCTCACGACCTTTCTCTACTATTTATCAATACTAGAAAATTGTAAATTATGTTGTTGAGTTTCTTTTTTCTTGGTACGTAGATATTTATGCAATTTCGATTTATAATTTAAATTATTTTAAATGTATATGGGAGCATATAATTTTCGTCACATTAGTGGCGTGCACGTTTTGCGGTCTAAAAACAATATCAGTTTACTTCAACTTTGACTTGTCTAATGTTACAAATCTTCGCGTAATTTGGAAAATTAGAACCACAATATGTACATACGTTTACATGTGAATCAGTGGAATTCCGTATTTAGTGATTCAACCATCCATTAGATGATTTTCACTTATTGTGCATACGATATTTTTTATGAGAAGTAAGATACATGAATTGTGTGATTGTTTCTTTACAACTTTTAGACTATTTTCCTGACAACTAGAATCGAATAAAATATCAAACGAAAAGCTTTATTAATTATTTTGTTCGAGAATCAAAGAAAAATGATAAAAAAAAAAAAATATATTTATTATATATTTATACATAAAGCTTGTTTTTAATTGCTGCCACTTATTTGCTTATCCCCAAGTAGGGAATAATAAATTATTTAATTCTATACATGTTTGAAGAATTTATAAATAGGACTGCAACGCTCTACTAATTTATGAAATGATAATAATATTGTTTAACACTTTTAATACATTATAGATGAGAATGATAAGTCTCTCAAAATACGTATAAATTCATTATAATATAAGATTAATATTTAATGCAAAAGTTTATTTGAAATTTAGTAAATTAATAGTGCAAGGGATGAAGAAATAAATGATTAATGCAGAAAATTTTTGTTAAAAATTCTATTAAACAAAAAAATTACTAAATTTGCTCAAGGAAATTTGTCTTTTCTACATTTGAGAAAATATTGGACACTACATGTATCCTTACGAAAAATACGATGTGTTATGTATTTAATGTATGCAGAATATGTAATCAGAATCTATAGTTACGTGTATTTATACATCCATCGAAAAGATCGCGAGTAAAAGTTTTATTGACGGGCGTTCGAACATTGTTTCTCCTCGGGCAATTACACTTATAATGCCTCATCGTGCAATTCGTTTTATCGCCGAGACGCTTATATGTGCCCATGAAAAAACAAATTTTGGTCTCGCCCCTTTTTATCCAACGAATAACGCCTGATGTAGGATCTCTACCGCTTCGAGCTACGCATATAAGTTATAAGAACCCGGCACTGCCGTAACTTTCACGTTCAAATACTCCCGAATGTATAATCTTTCTTTCTCTTTTCCCGTTCTTTCTCTTCATTGCCCGCTCGCTCCCTCCTCTTCACTATCAGTCTTTCTTTCTTCTTTGCTCCTCTCCTCCCGTCGCCCCCTCACCGCACTCCCAGCCCCTCATACTACCAAGGTCACTGTAGCGAGAGTTAGCGAGGCAATGAACCAGCTGACGCAAGAGGTGCTTAAATAAAGTCAATTAATAAGAGGGGGATGAGGAAAAAGTGGTAAGAAGAACAAATGTGAACGAGGTGCACAGGCTGTTTATTATTAAATGTCATAAATTGCCGCTTGACACTTTCGGCGGTTTTTTAATACGCATTCTGATGCTTTATGCGTCCGGCAAATAATTGATCGTTTCAGCTAATAAATATGAGCGATACGGGTATGGAATATTTTATCTTATTTTTGGAAGAGTAATTCGTATGTACATAGGTGCAACGCAATCTTTTTTTTTTTTTTTAACGATTTCGTCAGATTTTTCCAAATTATTATTTAGATTGAAAATTCTTGTGACTCGTATCTAGAAGCAACTAAAGTTTTATTTTCAAGCACGGAGACATAAGTGGCTGTTAATAAATAATGTTCAATGGTGACAAAGCATATAATCTTTTTTTCTTTTTCCCTCTTTTTCTTTCTGTTTCTTTTTTTTCTTCTTTTCTTTTCTTTGTTTTTTTTTGTTTTTGTTTTTTTTTTTTTTTACCGCAAATGTTTATTCTCTATCTTTTCTGGGAAGGCCATGAAAAAATTATACGCATTGCACTCAACTTTTGAACATTATGAGAAAGATTTTTCATACATAAAAATACCTAACATAGAGAACATAAAACTAATATGTAAACAACCACTACAATGTGTAAATAATGGCATATCCTTTATTTTTCAATTATTTTTTTCTATATTTGTATCCCTCGGCACCGCCTGACGGCGATGGTCCGGGGTACGAAGCCGTACCCTCATATCGAATTATTGGCCTGTAGCCGCCTTCGTCGGCCACGTAGTCGACGAATTGTGTTCTACCGTCCGGAAGGAGAACGTGATAACTTCCGGTTGCTTCGTCGTCCTTGCGCATCTCTCTGTGGCCAAAGTCCAGGCCAGCCATTGCGTCCTGAACTTCGTAGGAAAATTCGTAGTTTACTGGATCCTGTGAAATTTATTCCTCTCCGTTATTACGAGCGTTATTTGATTGTTCCTTTATTGTTTGTTTGTTTGTTTGTTTTTTTATCTCTTTTTGTTTCATTTCGAAGGGAAGGAGATAAATATCATTTTACTTACGCTTTTTTTGGATTTTCATGTTTGTATTGTACGATATTATTGGATGGCTTAAGCACCGAACAAACAATAACAATTGTTTATTCGACTTATTTTGAAGAAAGCAAGCTTTCATATTCTTCCTTATTAAATCAAGATATGTCGAGCATTATATTTAAAAAGCTTAAAATACGTTGAGATAAAAATTGCTTCTAATAATATTCATATTTAAACTTTATATTTTATGTATAATATTTCCATGTTAATTTATAAAGAATTTCATTGTTGTTAATTCTTATAATTATTTAACTTCAAAGTAGTTATTTTAATGCCTAAACTTTGCATTGTACTTAATGAGCTTGAACATTTTATAATAAAAGTAATTGCTATTAGTGTAATAACATTCTTCATCATATAAACTTGTAAATATTGAAAAAAAAAAATTAATTTTCTTATCTTAAATAATGAATATTGTTTCTGTAACAAAGAAGATTTTTAATGAACAATAATTATATTAAATTCCACATTTTATGAAAATTCTCTTCGTCAATTATTACTTATAAGCATATAATATTTTAATTGAAAACTCTTCTCTCAATTATTTTACGGGTGCTTCGAAATCTCTTGAAATAAACTAAATAATAAAAACTTTGTCTGAAATAAATGATTGTGTACTTAATGCTGTTATACGTAGTATGGTATATGAAATGTCTGGAAATATTTTTTTTTGCAAACTCTACGATTCATCCGTCTGTTTCATGCGAATTAATCTCCGGTGGATCCTTATTCTATTATATATGAAAGTATACTCGTATAAAGTACAGCGATAAGAAGTATTTTATTCTTAAATTATCGTCTGTTTGTTTTTATATTAATACGTATTTTAAAAGATACTTCGTCATTTTTTTTTTTTTTTTCATTAGATGTTAATTCATGAACAATAGCTATTTAAAATATGTCGGTCGATGATCAGGCGGAACTTTCAATTTCCCACTTTCTAAATGCTAGCATTACGACAGATATAAACGGCACGAAGGGCGCCTTTGCATAGTGTACTGGATAACTTTGGTTAGTTGTCGGAGGTTCAGTTAATTAGCCGAATAAATGTACGAGGTGGACATTGCATACCCCTGCCCATTCGTCTGGATGGCCATGCTGTGGCCTTGGAGCCGAGGGGGAGGCACTCGGCGGTAGATATGCCGGTCCTTGCGGCTTACTCCATGTCGCGACTAGCATTGTCGATAAAAGCAGTGCCTGAAAAGAAAGTGACATGTAAGTTTTAAACCCCTTTGGGGGAATCGGTAGTTGTGCCGACGCGTTTGTATGCGCACTTGCGCTATGGACGCACGTATGCGCACGTATTTATGTGTATGAGAAAATATTTGACATAGTCGCTGGATTCCAAGTTAATTAGGACTTGGGTTTGAGAAAGTCGGCGAGCAGCGAGATCAGCAAAGGGTAGCGCAAAACGCGCTTGGCATTTCCAAAGATAGAGAAAGAGAGGAGCGAACGCTGGAAGAGGGACACAAAAGAAAGAAACAGCTGGACGAAATATACTATGTGATGAAATTTACTGGATTGGTACGAATGTAATTAACTGTCTTATGGGCGATAAAGAAACGTTAAATTAAAAGCCTTAAAGGATTTCGGAATAACTAACTTCTTCGGCCCTACATTTCTGTCTGCGAGATTTTGTTAATCCGAGCAAAATAAAGCGAAACAAAGATTTCTGAAATTAGCGTATCAAAGTTAATAAATTATTATTCATATTTACAGCAACTTTAGAGTAATCATAGTGAATAATTTCTTTAATACAGTTAATGGCGAAGGATATTTATTTTATAAATTTTATTTAATTTACATTTTTACATTATTGATTGAATATTTTTACTTCTTTCCACATTATACGTTCTACTATTGCGTTAAGATATTTTAAAATTTTAATTTCATATTTATTACTTAATATTAATTTTAAATAAATTAATCAAGCTTATTCAATTTAATATGAAATTTAAAATAGGCAATTCATGAAGCTGAGTATAATAATTATTACAGCTTGTTTGAGTTTTGATTTTGTTTACTATGTTACGAAATTCTAAATTACTAAATTCCTAAATTTACTTGGTCCTGAAGAAAATACTAATATTTGTCTTCGTTCTGTATTAAATTAATTAAACAACGACAGATATTAAAGAATTTTTTTCACATAATGCAATGTATATTAAATATCTAAAATTTAAGAATAACGTATATTCAATTTTTCGATCTTTCAGTCTTTAATTATGAATTTAAAAAACTACTATATATCCGATTAATAAATTAAATAACTATGTATGAAATAATTGTGACTCGTATTATTTAATAATACTTATTTTTACACAAATATCGAGCAGCGTATAAATTCAAATATTTAATTATAATAATAATAAATAGATAAGCAGATAAATATTTGAATACAAATGTAATAGTAGTCAGATAGAATTTAACTATAAACTAATGATTTTTAATAAGTAAAAATGAATGTTAACCATAAATATCAATAACATTAGAGAGACAGAATATAGTTTAATAAATTAATTAATGAGTATAATACGCTGATACTATATTTAATAATGATAATTCACTACACATCAACATTATCAGTTAATTATATTATATTAATATATGAAGTGTGCATTAATATATAATAATTTTGTATTATTTCGCACTATAGTGAATTGAATTTCATATTTACAATTACAAGAGGCTTGCCGTAATGTCATAAAGAAATAATATTTCCATGAAAATGCGATAATATATGAAAATATCTTCTTAGCACAGGTAATTCTTCATTCGTAAGGATTTATGGCAATTAGAAGAAAAAAAAAACTTACCTTAAAACTCATGAGGATAGCAGTGAGGCTTCAAACTACGGAAGAAAAATCAGTACTAAGGCCGCACAGAAAACATCGAACGTTTTATACACTTGGGGGTTCCAGGCTGCGGATGATGCTTTGAAATAAAGGTTAAAATACAGTAATTTGTCGCATTTATAATATAAATGACTGTGCGATTGCATTTAATAAGAAAACCGCAGATTGGTGTCAGCGTTGATGACGCCAGACTAAACATTTGTCTGGCAAGATTTTACGGGTCGATTTCCTGCTTTGTGGTGCCATCAAATAATTGAGCAGTCTGGGCCTCCTCCACGGCACTAGTTTATCATATAAGATTGCAACTATTTATTTCAAAATTTCATTTTATATTAATCATTTTTATGCCCGTTCGTATTATGCATTATAAAAGCAATTAACGTTTAAATTAATAGTATTAGCTTATTAATATTCAATGAGAATTATAAGGACTTATTGTGTATTAAATAATACGTGTATATAATTACTTGTTTTGAAATTGGGTATTAAGTAATATTTGGTTTGAGTTCTGAAATTGCTTGTGATAATTAATGTAATACCTTCCAAAATTTAGCCGACTTATTGCCTATTCTCTAAGCAATCCATCTAAAAGCCGAAAAAAGTTTTCCTATGAAATTTTGCACTTTTGCATGTGCCTGTAGTATTAACTTTATGAATCGCGTAATAGACAAGTGAAATTGCAATATACCAGTTTATTTTTCCTTATGAAATAGATTATACTGCGACACAGTCTCCTCGATTATTTTCCTCCTAGTTATATAGATCTTTCGTAAGAACCAAACAATCATATAGAGGTGCCGTCTACACGTTCATCCCATACGTATTTTCTTCTAACCTTAGATGGATAAGTGAAGCATTGATAAAGAGTGCGAATTTAATTGTATAGACATGAATACGGATGATACTGGAATTCCCAGCAGTTGAGATGCTAAATAATGAATTAATTAGTCTATCATTATAGTTGGAAATGTTGTTACATATTGTCTGTCTGTTATGTGAGCGTGTGCGTGTGCGCGCATGCATTTGCATCTGTTCGAGCAAAAGCCTAAAGTCTATATAGTCGAATAAATTAATTAGCTTAGATATAACGAATTAATAAAAGGATATTGTTAAATAAAAAATACATATCTTTACGAGTAACCACATTTTTATTACTAGTGCGGCTGCTTTTTTTTTTTTTTTTTTTTTTTTTTTTTTTACTACGGATATTACAAGTATTTTTATCAAGAGTATTGTTGTTTTAAAAATAAATAACACAAGCGTACAAAATAGATTGAATAAACGATTTACAGCGAAAAATTATAAAAATAATTACATTAGACTTTTGTAAAGTTATGATATTTTTTGAATTAATACTGATACAATCATATGTTGACGTTTCATGACAAATGACATGCAAATACAAAATATACATTATATAATGCATAAAAAGTCTTAGATCAAAATGCAATTAGTATTGGTATCCACCATTGCTCGCAGCATCACCACCACTGCCAGTGGGATAACCACTGCTTTCACCTTGGTTGCGGTTACTATTGTTATTATTATTAAATCCACTATTAGTTGGTGCGCCCGATGGATAACCTATGCAAATTTATCAAAATAAAAAATTAAAACGTATATATCATCGCTTTTCAATAAATATTTTACCATTATTATTATTGCCAAAATTATTGTTATTTAATCCTCTATCGTTCGGGCCATTTTTTCCATTCCCGGGACCACCGGATGTATAGCCAGAATTACCATTATTGAAACCGGAATTGGGGCGTGGACCCGTAGAATAGCCATTGTTACCATTTCCAACTTGTCCACCAGTTTGTCCTCCGGATGGTCCACCAGATGGATATCCTCCACTTCCACTGTTGCCCGAGCCATTGCTGGAGGGATAACCATCTGCACCGCCGGCATCGGCATTAGCTTCGCCTTCGTATCGAATTTGGGGCTTAAAACCATCTTGATCTGCCTCATACTCTACAATTTGTTTTCTGCCATCTGGCAAAAGAACATTAAATTCGCCTTGTGCACGATGGCCATCACGCATTTCTGTATGTCCGAAATTACTACCTGATTCGTCGTCTTTTACTTCGTAAGAAAATTCGTACTTCGCCGGCTCCTAAAATAATAGTAAATGAAAAATTTCGATTTAAAAAAAAAAGAAAAAACAAAAACAAAAAAAAAAAAAAACTATAATCTTCTTTCATTATTATTTAAAAGTCAGTAATATTAAAAATATATAAGTATTCTTACGTCATTTCCCTCATCGAGTCCATTTCCTCCAGGACCACCAGACGAGTAACCATTTTCATTGCCATTTACGGCTCCCGATGGTGGTGGCCCGTAACTGTCTTGTACTTGTCCACCAAATCCATTATTACCACTTCCGGTATTAGAAGCACCACCATTGCTTGTTGGTCCTCCAGTACTGTATCCATTACCACCCGAAGGACTGTAATTATTTGCTGACTGGCCACCATTGCTGTTTTGTCCAAATCCATTTCCAGTCTTAGTTTGTTGACCTTGAGAATATCCATCAGATGAAGATCTTCCTGCACCACTAAATCCATTGTCATTTGACGGCTGTCCGTACAAACCTGACGGTTTACCGGCGTTAGTACTTTGGGCAGTATTGGCCCCACTATTAAATCCATTTGAAGGTGGACCATAACTGTTGGATGGTTTTGCGTTTGATCCACCATTACCACCAAAACTGCCACTACTGCTTGGTCTTCCATTTGCACTTGTGCTACCAAAACCGCCACCATTATCACCGGAAGGTGGACCATAACTATTCGATGGTCTTCCGTTAGAGCTTCCAAATCCATTACCATTTTGTGATCCTCTACCATTATTAGTCGTCGGCGAACCATAGCTATTCGATGGTTGAGAATTACCTCTTCCAAATTCACTTCCTCCAGATGGCGGAATATAAGTATTGGATGACTGAGCGTTCCTTCCTGCAAATCCATTTCCTCCCGATGGTGGATCATAGCTATTCGATGGTTGACTATTTCCTCCTGATGGTGAACCATAACTGTTCGATGGCTGTGTATTTCCAGCTGACGGTGGGCCATAGCCATTCGAAGGTTGAGCGTTACCTCCATCAAATCCCCTTCCACCTGACGGTGGGCCATAATTATTTATGGGTTGAGCTTGATCTCCCCTCCCAAATCCATTCCCTCCTGATGGTGGACCGTAACTGCTCGATGGTTGACTGTTTCTACCCGACGGTGGACCATAACTGTTCGATGGCCGACTATTTCCTTCCGATGGTGAACCATAACCGTTCGATGGTTGAGCATTCCTTTCTTCAAATCCATTTCCTCCCGAAGGCGATCCATACGAGTTCGATGGCTTAGAACCACTTTGGCTTCCGAAATTGCCAGAGGCTCTTTCACCACCAAAATTGCGTGGGCCAGTTGTCGGTGGTCCATATGAGTTGGAGGGCCTATTGGCATTTCCTCCGCCAAAACCATTTCCAGCGGACGATCTCTCGGGATTTCCATTGCTGTATCCATTGCTACCTTGAGGAGGCCCATAAGAATCCGACGGTCTCGTTTGTCCGTCATTTCCACTCGGATAGCCATTACCAGCCGAAGACGCACGACTTCCCGAATTTCCACCTCTGAATCCACTTCCAGCCTCGGGTGGCCCATAAGAATTTGACGGTTTGCCGGTATTTCTTCCTCCAAGTCCAGTATTACCTGATGGTGGCCCGTAAGAATCAGAAGGCCTACCACCGGGAGGTTGCTCGTTGATTCTACCTCCACTAGCACTACCTCTGTTTCCTCCGAAATCACTACCGCTTACCGGTGGACCATAAGAGTCCTGCGGCCTTTCAGCGCCACCATTCACACTACTGCCTCCGTTAAATTTATTGGCTTCGTTATTACCAAAACCCGGTGGGCCATAACTACTCGATGGCGCTCCCCGACCATTACTGCCGGCGTTGAAATTGCCACCAGGAGCTTGACCGCTACCGCTTTGGAAATCTGGAGGTCCGTATTGATTAGAAGGACTTCCGCCGTTCGGATGGCTACCGCCGAAGCCACCACCATGTCCTGGCGGGAGGTAAGAATTTACCGGTGGCTCCGGACGTGCCACACATAACGCTAATACTCCCATTAAATATATTATCTAGAAAGTCACAAAAATACATTAAGTCACGTTCATTTAAAAAAATAATAATAAACTTCAATTAAATGTAATATAATTGGATTTTATTTGATTTTACAATAACGATATTCCTGAACAATTTTCTTATTTTCTTCTTTTAAAAAGACTATAATTTAGCATTACTAGAGGGTATAAAGTATACACTAATACATAGCTAAACTGCACGATAATTCATGTAATTTAAAAATATTAGTCTACATAATGATACATTAGTGCCATTAATTATAAATTGTTCTTGCACAACCGATATAGATCATTATTTTATGTTTTAAAGAATTTTTTCATCCGCAATTATAAATCATAGACAAATTACATCTGCGTATTCAAACTGCTTAGGGAATATACATTATTATCAATAATGATTTAAAGTTTATTATATCAGTAAATAATATATACGTGTATATGTATAATTTTATGAAAAATAGATGTAATAAAATGTTTCTGCTGTTAATTCGAAGCTCTCACATAATTACACATTAAACAGTCTCTCTCACCTTCTCCATGACTGACGAATTAATTAATAATCTGAAAATGCTATAACTTTTTACTCTCTCTCTCTCTCTCTCTCTCTCTCTCTCTCTCTCCGGAGAATAAATAAAAGGGTAGTCCCGTAAGGGAGTCCCCTTATAACTAACGGTGCACACAAACGCCCTTTTCGTTATAAGCACCAGTGTGCAAGCAGAGTTAAACGCGAATGACAAACTCGAAGCCGTAATCGACTTTATATACTGCCCGGCTCTGTCTGTAGCATTAGATCATGGATTTGGTGCAACTCTAGCGAAGATTTACAGCGAAGATCGTTATAACTGTGTCATGACGGTGAATCTATCGTTAGCTCCGCGAAGGCAATGTTAGTGTTCATACGTTGGCATCTCACGGCGTCGGTTAGGGGGAGGGGGGCGGACCTTCGAGTTAAGCATACATACGCGCAAATAAGACAGAATGAGAGTGATAGTGAAAGACGGACACACAGAGAGAGAGAGAGAGAGAGAGAGAGAGAGAGAAAGGGAGAGTGAGAGTAAGTGAGAGATCTTGACTCACTAGTTGTCTATAGCAACATCTTACCGGCAAAGGATTCCCATACCCTCTCTATTTCAAATCGTCGTGTTCGCGATTATGTGTGCGCGCGCGCGTGTGTAGTCGTGCACTATAGCTGCATATACACGTATATTTTATGCGCTATAACAAAGTTAAATGAAAGGGTAACTGCAAAATCTAGGGCGACAAATATATACCTCCCACTATAAGCATTTTAAGTCTTTGCTCAATGGTGAGTCTGACGAAATTAATAGCAAAACTGGCGAAATTCATGCAAATCAATGTTTTATAAAATAATACAAAATTTTCTTTTTAATGATAAAAATATTAAAGTCTTGATCGTAATAAACTTCCGACAGTTATGCATTAATTAAACAGCGTGAAAATCACACGAATATTAACACGTGCATAAGTGGGAAATGCGTCAAAATTCCAGGACGATAATTGTTCGATAAGTTAACAAAATTACATCGCATACGACTAACGCGTTCACTAACGAATTCACTAAACGATAATCAGCGTACTTGTCTCATTAAATAAACCTTTCTTGTAATTACATAAAAAGTTTGTAATGATACATTTGTCGAAAATGGCTGCAGTGTAATCCCATAATAATACTTTAATTATTAATCGAGAATATAATGAGATGAAGGAAAAACAGGTTATGTAATTTATATATCAAGAATTGCTTTATTAGTATAGCTCTGAAAAAGGATGGCACAATACATGACGCTATTTATATACATCAATTATATGATATAAATGCATGATTACCTGTGAGAACCGAGACAAGCGATGCACGACTCATTTTCCCTCTCTTCTATCTAGCTTCTTTTTCGAGTAGATCCGTCGTTTTTATGATGTTGAGTGACACGATAATGCTTTTTCTCTCTCTCTCTCTCTCTCTCTCTCTCTCTCTGTCACACACACACACACACATACATACGCGCGCGCGCGCGTACAGACATATACACTCTCCCCTCTCCCCTTCGCTCTTCTCCACGATCCCCAGCCCCTAACTGCCGGCATAACACATCGTGTCAATCTTCCTTGTTTCTTTGTTGTTTCCTCTCTACACTTGCACTTACACTTTCATTATCTTCCTTTCCTTTTTAGATCGTGTATTTGGAAGTTTTTTTATTTAACAGTATAAAGAAAGCTCAAAAGAGCTCTTTGATCTATTTATCTATCTTCTTATCAGTGCTTAACTTTTATAACTTTATTTAAAAATAAAATCTTACTCAATACTGCTAAGGCTTAACAAGCCTTCTTACGTATACATATTGTACACACAAACATGTATCTTTATATGGATAAATACATTAATAGAGACATTTGTGGATTAAACTAAAAATAAAAAGAAGAGAATAAATAAATTGGATTAAAGTAAAAATTACTAAAAAGATTAAGATTAATATAAAATTAGATTAAATTATGATTAATTTTATACCCCATTATTATGTATTGATATATAATTTTGTTGCGATATAAATTGTAATAATAAATTTTACAATACTTGCTTTTATAAAATAGCTTTATAGAAATACTAATTATATCGACAAACTTTCATAACTTATACGAAAATAAATACACTCGTTCATAATCTTAATAATAATAAGCATCGATAATAATGTTAAAATTTGGTATTTATAATTTATAGTTTAATGAGATTTCATTCTATTGCAGTAAATTTTGTAGACCATTTGTCAGTATTGTTGTTGCTCGTACCTTTATGTTTCCAAAAGGTTAATAATTCAATGTTGCTATGATTATTTATCAATAAAATCAAATTGATTTAAACGAATCCAAATTTTTTCAACTTTATGCATGTCGATATGTCATTGATAGCTAATCATACACACATATATAGAAAGGTAAACAAGTTTCCCGTGTAATGATAATTTAAGTAGAAATTTCTCTCGATTGATAAAAGCATATATGCAACGTACAACTCGACGTTACTCAAGATCATATTTATGATCTGAATTTATGTAATTATTACATAGGTATAATGTATTAAAATTTTATCATTTTATAATTGAGGCTTACGTACGACGATTACAGAGATACCAGAGGAGATACTTAGCGAAGGAGAAAAATCTTTTATGTTTTCTCATATGCGAGCTAGACATGCATTTCTTGGCGCTGGATCTTCTCGCGTTAGATTGGTGCAATCAGTGCAAGAGCAGGCGAACAAGGATCCGTTTAAGCCTCCTGCTTATACTCAGGATATACTTGTACAGCTATAGAGGGGCAATCTCACGGTTACTTACATCTGTACGTATCCATCTCTGAGTTTACCTATGCGAGTTTATGTGCTTGAGCATGTAAGAATATATAAGTCATATACTCAAGAGGGGGGTAAGTATATTTCGCCACGCGTCTTATTGTAAGTATACTTTCATTAGGCTTGTCAAGCAGCTTTTGACGTCTTTTTACATAGATGCCATATACTTGTGCTTCTCTTGCTCTCTTACACACTGGGATATATCGCACTAAATGAATTTCCTCATACATTACGATCATCGTGTATATTTTATTACTTTACGTCATTATACTAATAATACAACCATCGCTGATGCCAGCAAAATCTTTTACACGCGCACGCACACACACAAACACAGACACGCGCAAACACACACGCGCACGCAAACACACACACATTTATACAGATATTTTTCATTTCACAAAGCCATGTTATGTGGAAAAATGATGTATATAGTATTTTTCATTTTATTAGAGTTTTTATTCGCGAGTATTGGAATACAATTGTAATTGAGAGCACGGCTAAGGGATATCAAATGAAAAGATTTTCCTTCGAATACGTAGAAATTTTAATTGTTACGCGTCTACTACTTTGACTTCAAATCATGATTCATGTAATTACAAAACTAATCGTAATAGTGTTAATAGCGTAATAATAGTTTCACGTCCATGTCAATTTAGGTATAATTATTGTAAGTGTAGTACTAATGAAAACGAATGAAAATAATCTTCATCTTTGAATACGATATTGGGAGCTTAATTAGATAAATTCTGCGTACGTCTGACTTTTTGATAAAGAGTTAATTTTATCCGTAGCAAAAACAATACTCCGAGCATCTACACTTAAAAATTTATTTCGAAAGAAACCGAATGTTTATTTATAGGAAAAGCAATTGAAGACAAGGAAATATTGAAGTAGTGCATTACGTCATTATAAGATGATATCACATTATGTTGAAATTAAAATTAACTACAATATCAAGTCGATTTGAAGGATTTTTTTAACATTTTCATAATGCAAACTACGTAGTCATTATTGATAACGTTCAATTTAATAAGAGACGCCTATATCTAATAGATGAAATGCCAATCCTCGTTAAATTAAGAAATTCGTAGCACTAGAGGATAACTTCCCTTATTCCAATGAAACGGCGCTTATTTAATAATCTATATGTTTAAAAGCGCTATTACGTCAGAAGTAAAAGTAATAATGCACCTATCGCAATAAAACTGTACTTCGAAGTATCACCTTCCCCAGATGAAACAGAATTTTCCCAGACTTCACGCAAATCTATTATCGATATTTCAAGCAACGCAGCTTCTGAAACTCACCATCGAGTCTGTTCCTTTTTCCATCTTTGCTACGCGATATCTTACGATCAAATTCATCCACGAGTGCTACATGCGCTCTCTATAGCTTAATTTCCCGAGGGCGATGTAGAAAGCGACTCCTTGCCGGTCTCTCTATGCAGATGCGCTTGCGCTCCCCGTCACATTGACACGATCTTTATTGATATTCTCATTGCTCAAGTTGCCCGCGATCTCAACGGAGAGATCGGCGAGCGT